GTGGAATGCATAGATCAGAAAATCATAGGTTGTGAGCTCTAAATCGGTCTTGCATGGTAAAAGGGATGACAGAAGCCAAAGTTAGTAGTATGGAAATGGAACCTTCTAATGCAGCTGTTCAGTTTCCTTCATTCCTTAATCAGACAACAATCCTTTTACAACATCAGCTCTAGATGCTCATTATTACAAAGAGAAGGAACACATGCAGCTGTTTTCCAGAAGATTCTGAAATCCAGCTGAACTGAAAACATCCTACAAGTGGAAACTTCCAAGAGTCACTGAAAAGAAGAGTTTGACATTTTGATAGTGCCAGAACTGGAACAAATTAGCACTCTGGATAACTTTTCAGCCACAAAATTAAGTTAATTATGGTGATTAATTGTAGTACATTGACAACATACTAACCATTTAAAACCATAGCTCGTGTTTTGACTAAGAATGTTAGCTAATGTTTAAAATGTTAAATGCTAGGGTTAATCAGTTGAACCTGGAGCAGTCCTTCCCCACTCTGCAGTGCAATGGCCTGTGGCTAGACGAGAGAATGCTCTGTCACCAGCCCTGCTCTGGCTTGGAGGAGCTGCTCCCGCCCCTTCCCCAGCACGGGGGCTGCTCTGGCAGTGGAGGCTGCTTTCGCCCCGCAGATGCTCTGACCTCAGCCCCACCCCAGTCCTGCCCCTTGTTCAGCATGGCACTGGACAAGATCCAGCCAGCCAGGCCAGTTAACTGGTGACCCGGTAAGCAGGCCAACAAGAAGGTAACTGGTTAATCTCTTACATCTCTATTTTGACTATATCAATGTGTGTTCTTAAATGACAAATAATTAAAGAAAATAAATAATTCTGAAAACCTGACATCCAAAGTTTTAATACCAAAATGTGAGTGGAACTTAAATTCCAATGTAATAGGGACTATAGCAAAAAAAAAAAAAAATCCCCATATTATATTGGAACTACAGTGTACTTCGGCTTTATTATTTTCAATATGTGAGATGTTAACACTGTTTAAACATTAAATTAATATAGTTTTCCTAATATTACACTCATTAGTTATAAATGGAGTATTTTTTCTAATGGATATGGATGCAATAGATTAAGAGTCACTCAATATAGCAATAAAAAATGGTGTCTCCGTAGCATAAAGACAACTTCTGTGTATTGCTAGATATAGCTTTGATGAAGGAATATATTATTATATGATTAACTTACATATTTCCATCCAAGAGTAGTTTTACAGTTTTCACAATAGATATCTGCAACAGCATGTAAACCGGTCAAAAGAACTCTCTCTTCTGCTGGACCACATCCCACATTTACACTGTAACAGAGAAAAGAAATAGTAGTATCTTAAACAACGAGACAAATCTTGGTTTTTTTAATGGGACAACAACACTCTACTTTTCTCCTGAAGATGAAACAATTCAGGTAAAATCTAAGTCTCCAAGATATATGTGCCAGTATTTTTAGTCCAACTTTTGTGAAATTAAATTCTAGGATTATACTTCGAGGACACAAGGAAAATGTTTAACCGTTTTTTCCCCATTTTCTATCATGGAACAGTGTTTATTTGTAGCATGAGTTAACTATCATCATCTATACCATCAAAGTAACATAAAACAAAGCATGATGAATTGAAAACTATTTAATGAAACTCAAAATAATAATAAATGACCACTTTATAAGTTATAAGGCCTTTTAACTCAGGCCATGTCTTTGCTGGGCTTTCAAAATGGGTAAGCTCCACTAGTGCCAGTCATGGCTTTCCTTTTTTATGCTAGGCATTTACACTAATGCAACTACACTAAAATCAAAGCACTTCCCAAGGTAGGAAAGGCTTTACAGATATTGTCATGCTACAGACCAACAGTAACAGACAATGAATATTTAAAAGCCAATGGAATGTCTCCTGTACACCTTGCTGCTCCAAAAGAAAGTTTTCCTAATTTAGGCATATGTTTTTAAAGATTGGTCAAACAGTCATTCTAGGAAAATCAGGCAACAATTGGTGAAACCATTTCTGCTGTAGCACTATCCAGATCTGTAGTGTTCTTGAATATGCCTGGAACCCCAATTCTATATGAAGAAACTATAGATAAAAGAATAAAGGTATCTGTAAAAGATAGTCACATATTTTAATCTTTTCTATAATTACCTGGTCTATAAACATAAAACAGATACATCTGACTTGAGTTCTATTTATGAATTGCTCTGAGCAATTTAACTGGTTAAAAATGGAGATGCAAGCCACTGCAATTAAGCTGGTTAAAAATGGAAATGCAAACTAATGACAGCGTATTACAAAATCAAAATTAGCTCAAGCTTTATAAAAGCAAGGAATCAAGGATACAACCCCTGTTGCGCAATGCCATTATTTCTGAAAATAATTGGCGTAGCGGCATTGCGCAAGAGGGGAGAAGGCACATAGGGCTATGGGCAAGGAATGGCACAAGAGATAAGCGAAAGCTCACAATTACATATTTATAAAGGATCTAAATGCAGCCTGCCAGGTGCTCTGCGCACGACGTCCCAGCACATGCTCAAGGCTGGCTGCTCAGCACACATGCCCAGCGCCTGGAGGGAGACGCATGTGGTGGTAGCAGTGGTGGCAGCAGCTCTGGGACCCAGGCATAAGGTTGGGGGGCACAGGAGGAGTTTCCTGGCTCTGGGGAAGGGGAGGAAGATTGGGTTGGGGAGGTGATCATGGAATCCCAGCCAGCACATGCTCAAGGCTGGCCACTCAGAGTACGCGCCCAGTGCCTGAAGGGAGACGCATGCAGTGATTCAAGGACCCAGGCATAAGGCTGGAGGGAGGAGAATTGAGTTAGAGTGTGGGGTGATGGTGCCTGGCTCTGGGGAAGAGGAGAGAAGGGGGACTGGGTTGGGGGGGGGGAGCGTGTGCGCATGGCATCCCC